CATTTAAACTAAAGCTAGTGATGACAGTTGTATTAACGTTTGTATCAGTCTGCAATGTTGCAACAATTTTTTTTTTCTTTTAAAAAATACATTCGAACTCACAGCTGAGAAATGTCTTTGAGGTAAGATGCAGACCGCCAGTGTACTGGCTTCTGGAACTGATTGTGCTCCATGGAAAGGCATCTAATTCAGCCTGTTCAATTTGAATTTCCACAGTCTTTGGACCCAAACCTACAGTGTTAGACAAAATAGAATTGCATTCATTCAAATACTAATAAATAAATAACGTTGAAAAGTAAACTACCATATATTTACCTGTGTGGTAGGTAGCTGGGTCCTGGACAAGATGATGATCTGGAAGGTCAAATCTTGTAACTGTTCCCTCTGAATAACGTCAGAAAATGAATCTCTCAATGGACAAAGATGCTCGTGACCATTTATGTACCAGCGTCTCTGAGGTCTGAAAATCGCTCCATCCAGAACGGACACCTTGAGATTTTGAAAGAGCTGTAATTATCCGCGTACACAATGAAAGGTTACTCATTAATTACTTTATGATGTCACTTACCTTCCCTTTCTGAAAGTGGACCACCAGGACTGAATCCGCTAGTTGGTTGTTGATGATCCTTCCATGTGGTTGGATGCTCCAGAGTAGTAGATATTGACTAGCTGCCATGGTTCCATTTTCCGTACCACAATCAGTTGTCATTCTCACATCACCCCTCTTCACTTGCAATTTGTATTTTTATTTGAGTACTCGCCCTATTGTGCGTGAGCCAAAGAGCTGACCATGTCCTCCACGCTCCAATCAAATGGCCTAAATGATGGCGTCTGTGGAGGTAGAATTCTTTCTGCAATGTAACGCAGCTTCTTTCATTTTGTTTTTCAAAGCCTTCAAACTGATCTGAAGACCGTCTAAATGTGGCATCGTGTCCGCAATTGCAGATTGCCTTGCGGCAGCCAATCGGCTTCGGGAAAGCACTATGTCACAGGTAGTGTCAGGTATCGGTCTGTTTTGTGTTAAGATTCTTGAAAAATGGAGGAAAACAACATTGTAGTCACCCGGAGCTCTACAACATGGGACAGAGCCAGGAGAGAAGAGGTTTGAAGAACGGTGAGCAAGGAAGTTGGCATGCCTGATAGGTGTATTTTTTTTGTATTTATAGCAAGAGAAAAAGAGTAGCTTGGCCACAGTCACAGCAAAGAAATAGAAGTACTTTGTGGTGCTCTCTTTTTTCGACCCACTGAAATGGTGCAGTTGTCTACCAAGCGAAACCTCTCCCCCTTCTTCGGTGTGGATGAAAGAAGCAGCAGTGGCCCATACAAACTCTGTAGTCAAAAGTCCAGCGAGTAAAGCGCTTGGGTCCGAGCATGGCGTGACAACTCAAAATGTTGCGCTCAGTTCTGTTATTACTTTTGCTACGTTGAGCCCGACCACGAGTAAGCAAATCTTGCGGTGCAATTCCATATACAGTGGTACCTCAACTTACGAAATTAATTGGTTCCAGAAGAAATTTCGCAACTAGAAAATTTTGTAAGTAGAGATGTGTTTTCCATGTAAATGCCCTAATCCGTTCCAAGCCCCCCAAAATTCAGACATAAATGTTTTCTCAAGCATAAAAATGCATCAAAATATGCAACAAATATGTGTTACAAATCAGATTATTGCACAATAAATGAGGGTTGTGCATAATGTAAAAAACAAAGAATAAAGTAAAAAATAAAAATGATGGTCATTTAACACACTGGTGTGCCGCAGCACAGGGTTTGAAAAACAGTGATCTACACACAGACGCATACGGCAGAGGTCCCTCTTAGCCAATGGGATGCCAGGATGATGCTCGGAAATAGCCAATGGCAGAGCAGCTCTAAGTATGTTGCGTTCAGGAAACTCGGAGCTGCGAGTAGAAGCCCATACTGTATTTTTACCTTTCGTATCTTGAAATTTCTTTCGTAACTAGAGATAATAGTTTCCTGTTAAGGCGTTTCGTAACTTGAACATTTTGTATGAAGAGACGTTTGTAAGTAGAGGTACCACTGTATCGTCAATGCAGTTCATGCGGTTGGGCGCGATGTGAGTGGATATCGCAGATCGTGCGTTTGGATTAGTGGGAGGCGGTGTCACACATAGAAAATTTGGATATTTGCCTATTCGCCCAAGTTAGAAAAATCGAACTTTTGTCACACATCACCTCGCGGCTTTGGGAACATGACTAAGTTACACACAGCATCACGGAGAGGTAGTTTTAGAGTCGAGATTCGAAAACAATCGAGGAGAACATCAATGCCCTCTGTAGTCACCTGGAGCTTTGCAACACGGCCAGTTATCAGAACCGAGACGGAGCCAGAAGAGAGCAGGCTTGGAGAATGGCAAGAGAGGAAGTTGGCTTACCTGGTAAGTGCATTTATATACTTGTTGACAGCTCTTGAACCATCACAAGATCGCAATCTCAAGATTGCAATTGTGCGAAGCATCAGCTGAAGGCCTGAGCTCAACCACTGGCCACTTGATTGCGATGTTCAAACAAAAGGTGCAAGGCCTGAAGACAGCGGTCGCCAACGTTTTTTGCCCCACCGACCGGTTTAATGTCAGACAATATTTTCAGGGACCAGCTTTAAGGCCGGATAAATACAACAAAATAATATGATATGCCCTGCATGAAAACTGTGGTATTTTCTTAACAGAATAATAAACCCGAATCATGACACGAGGAACGTCCGATCTGGCCGTAACGCTCTCTGGTCGCTATGGTAACATTTAAACGTGCTTTCAAAATGAGATACACCGCAAATAAAAAAGTGCATGAAAAATACGACTCACCATCCCCGCATATTATGGAGAATGGGCTTGGTGCGAGGGAATCTCCCATTGAAATAAACCCGTATCTTAAGTAGGACTCCTGAAACTGTCCTATTAAATGTAGCCTTCTTTTCCTTGCAAGTCGTAGGCAGGCTCCTCTTCTGTTTGATGGCTGGGCCTTTTCCCCTTCCCAAAGGAACTTTCCAAAGACGTTTGTTTTTTTATTCATTTTGCTAGCTCTTGGGTTTCATTTTAGCGGTAATCTATCACGTGACCGAGAAGTGCCGCCTTCGCTTCCGTCAAGAGTGACATACTGTAGACGAATACAACAGAGAATCTGGTAGTTTTTCCAAATAAAACATCGTTTACATTCTGAAATGAATAAAACGTAAGTAATGTTATTTTGTCTTTCTGTGCGGCCTGGTAGCAAATGACCCGCGGACCGGTAACGGTCCGTGGCCCTGTGGTTGGGGACCCCTGCTCGGTGGTTGGGATCCCCTTCTACGGTGTATGCGAATGAAGCAGCCACAAAACAACACAGTCAAACCCCAGTCTGTAAAGCGAAGCGGAATCCTTCTGTTTTCTCTGAAAATAGCCTGTCAAACCACGATATGGTTCATTCGCTTTCAGGATTGTGGCAATTGCCATTTGTTTCTGCATTTGTTGTTTTTCTGAAACGTTAATATGTTACAGTTTTTGTTAATTTGTTTTGTGAAATGTAAATTTGTGATTGCTTTTGTTTGTCTTGATTTTGAAAGGTACAGTTTTCAGGTTTTGTCAATTTGTTTTCTGACATGCAAATTTGTTTCATGTCTTATAAAAGTTTTATGGAATGTTAACTTGTTTCGGCTTTTGTTAATTCATTTTCTGAAAGTAAACTCGCCCATTGTTTTGCAGTTCTCAGCAACTTTAGGTTTATCAAGTAATCTTTCAGTATGGTCACTCACTGGCACCTTGTGTTTATTCTCGGGCGAGTTCTTAAAAATCATAACGATCTTATTAAATCTTTCTTTAAAGGGCCGATGCCGTGGTATTTAAGCTTTCCACAGTTAACTATAGGCATGAACATATATTACCTTTGGCACAACAGTGATCTAATATCTTATGAAATTTGAGTGATGTTGATGACTATTTTTCAAAAACCGGAAGTAAGATGCCTGGCTGACTAAAACCCCGCCTCTCACAGTGTGGTTGCCGTCCCCTTTTCATGACATAGTCCTAAAGCTGGCTGCTGCATGCACCACCCACAAAACAGATAAATAGTAATTAAGGCAGAAGAACATATTGTGGAGCCTTGCGCCCTTGATCCACAGTCAAGTGGCAGTCTTTATACAGCAATGCTAATGTTAGTGGATTAATGCTAAAATTATGTTATCTTTTAGCTAACAGCTTGATTTACTTACAGCTCCGGCTTCTCCATCAAGTTTGATTGTGGGAATTGCGCCAGTTTTGAGGTTTAATCTACCTGCCAATCCACTTTGGCACTTGCCAACGTTCATCAAGCAGTCCTCTGAGAAATGACAATCACAGACAAACAACTGCTGGATGGTCTGTTGTCGGAAAGGTCGGCGCCTTCATCTAACAACGCATGTGTGGAAGAGCGCACAGAGGTGGACTTCATAATTTCAGAGCAGCAGAACTCCAGCCAGGGAGGCCGGTGCTTCACCTGAGGTGGCCACTCATTCCACCTCTTTCCCGGATATGCATGTCAGACATCTCGCTGGCTGTTCAGAGAAAGTGGGCGTGTGTTTAGTCTGCAGGGGCGGGACTGGGGTGGCTCACTCAGTCTTACACATAAGACTGAGTGAGCCACAAGATTTCCTGGATTGAGCGGGGCTGTTTCAAAGATAGCAGGAATGCTACAAGATGAGTGAATGGATGAAAACACCGCTTTAGGGGTGTTTTGGTGAGGAATTGGCATTTTCACATGGCTAAAAGCTCAAAAAATGAGATTTTGCATGATAGAGGCCCTGTAAGAGTTCACATATGCGACAATCTTGCTATTGGCCATTACGTCCTGTCGTCTGTTCTCAAAAATCCATTTAACTAGTGCCTCATTAATCACCAATTCAGAGCGCTGTTTTGATTAAGGGGTTGATGGTGAATGTGTTGAAAACAGAGGAAAAGCCCATCAAAAATATATAGATCATCTCAGTCAGCTCCAAGTCCACTTCCAAAACCACGACATTGATTTCCAAATTTACTTTTTCATGATGGAAGATAGCTCCAGCAGCATGGTCTGAAATGAGGGGGAAAACACGAAAACAACATCAGGTTATTACCAATTAAACAATCTTATTATATTTGTATTTTTAGAAATTGAGTTAAATGATAAGAATAAGGGATGAAACAAATTAAAATGTGTTTGCTGCAATCAGTACCTTCAGAAATATGTAAAAAATAAAAATAAAAATACAGTGACGCCTTGAGATATGTATTTAATTTGTGCTTAATATGCAATTACTGAGGTTACCAGGGCCTCCCCTCCCGAAACGCAGAACATGTACAGTACTTTGTATAGGGCACTGTGTTTTGCATCCTTCTGGATCTTTCTTTTCTGTTGGGAAATTGTGAAGTATGAACGCAGGTATACAACTGCATACTCTTTCAATGTTTGGGTGAACTTGTTGGAGCTTTCCAATGTTCTTTTACACCAGCGTTCAAGCCTATAAATTCCATTAGAGCAGTTAAACATGCAACAAAGTGCACCTGTCGTTTTGTCACTTGCGTTGAAAAAAAAAAAATCTCTGCAAGCCGGGATGGCGCTACACCGGGGATGGGTGAGGGTGTTAACCTGGCAGAAATCTGTGGTGCCCTAGTTAAGACCCTCCAACATTTTATTTCATCCATCCATTTTCCGATCTGCTTTATCCTTACAAGGGTTGCGGGGGGTGCTGGAGCCTATCCCAGCCGTCTTCGGGCAGTAGGCGGGGGCTCCCCTGAACCGGTTACCAGCCAATCGCAGGGCACACAGAGACGAACAACCATCCGCGCTCACACTCAAACCAAGGGACAATTTCGAGTGTTCACTCAGCCTGCCATGCATATTTTTGGAACGTCGGAGGAAACCGGAGTACCCGGAGAAAACCCATGCAGGCCTGGGAAGAACATGCAAACTCCACACAGGGAGGCTGGAGCCGGGATCGAACCCATGACCTTGGCACTGTGAGGTTGACACGCTTAAATATTTGTGTGTGTGTGTGTGTGTGTGTGTGTGTGTGTGTGTGTGATATATAAATTCGTTTTGGAGAAAACTGTAAATAACTCCTCTTGTAACGCCCCTTTCTGCTCAACAATATAGCCACGCCCCCTCCTACCCCCACCCTTCCCATGTCCTAGTGGGAAGTTTAGAGGAACATTTCTAATATTGTCAAAAACCGTTGAACCATCAGCACCAAAATGGATCGACTTCAACCCACTTCAACCGCTGAAAATATCACTGTTAGCCTCACTATAGCTCACTTATGAGAGAACGAGACATTGAGCTACTTTTATGTAGTTTTGCTCATGCTGGAACTGTGTTCTTTGATAAGTCTCCAATATACAAACACAATGCATTCGGAGAGGCTTATCATACACTGAATTGTTTGTAGGTCGTTATATATAAAATTTCAATGTATAAGGGTTAGCTGGGCTTATTTTATTTCCCAAGTTCACTTTGTATCGTAAAGAGCCCCACCCTAAGCAGCCACACCTGGCTAGAGCTACGGTGCTATGAATTTTTCAGTCAATCCATCCATTTTCAGCACCACTTATCCTCACTACAGTTGCGGGCGTGCTGGGTTTTTCAACAACAAAAAAAAAAAATTGCCAGGGCTGTCACACAGCCTCCTTTCAGACATTGATGCACTTCAAGCGGCCACTTCTGCGAGTGCATGAGGCAGAGCGACATCTGTGGATGGACAGAAGCCAGCATTTGCCCCTCTAAATTTGTATGGATCAGCGGCATTCAGGAGAATACTTGCGAAGCTCCATGTCTGGTCAATGAGAAGCGAATTTCATCTTGCTAATCTTGACAGCTGAACGCAAACTGCTGCAGTGGTGTTAGCCTGTAAACTAGCTGCCTGTCTGTGGAGTCCCACCCAAAAAACTAAATATCTGAAAAGGATGACTAATCACCACCATAATTCATATGCAAATGCATTCTATTGTGGACTCCAACCTGTAAAAATATAAAATCAATCGGCACAATGTTTGGAGTTTGTGGAGGTGACACTGGCTTTGCCTCATCGGAGCTTACAATTAAAGTCAATAAAATCCAAACTATTGTATCGCTCGCTTTTATATTTTCACAGGTTGAAGTGGACTAGATTAGAGCTGTACATTTGACTTTTGGTGACAATCGGTAACCGTTTTCAGGCACTGACAACAGCATGTGATAAAACAAGCCAGGAAACAATCCGGGCTCACACTCACACCGAGGGACAAGTTCGAGTGTTCAATCAGCCTGCCATGCATGTTTTTGGAATCTGGGAGGAAACCGGAGGACCTGGAGAAAACCCACGCAGGCACGGGGAGATCATGCAAACTCCACACAGGAAGGCCGGAGCCGGGATCGAACCCACGTCCTCTGCACTGTGAGGTCAAGGCGCTAACCACTGGACCACCCCTCAATGGTCCCTTTAAGTTTAATTGGTGTGATGATTAGGAGCGGGTGTTTGGAAAAACCCGTAAGGGCTTCTTGTACCCAAAAAGTTTTGAGAACTCCTGGTTGTGATTATTTGCTGGTATAAATTGAGCGATTCAATTGTGACTTTTAATGTAAACTTTTTCTGATATATTCTCACCATAGACATTCTCCTCCCGCTCGATGGAGGCGGTGGAGTCACCACAGGACTCTCTTCCTTGTTGAAGTTTGGGGCCTCAGCACTTGTTCCACTCATAGAGTATAGACTGGGTGATAGCCTTCCATCAGACATGACTCTGGACATGAAACTGCATTTCCGGCCTGTTGAAAAATGCTCACTCCCAGGAGAATCCCCTGTGTCACTTAGTTCTTTATAAACACAGATTCCACTCTTCTCTCGTTGTTTATTGCTCTGGGCTGCAGGTGTTTCCATGTGGCTGGCCAATAATGTGGGTCGAGCGCTAGTATACTGCAGCATGCCAGAGGTAGGAGGTGCATCTGAATCATCACTACAAGATGACTGTATCCCAATGTCCAGAGTGAGTTGCCGCTCCGTAGCTCTCAGATGTCCCAGATGCTGGATGTCCACTTGGCTTGGCTGGTGGGTCTGTGCTGGAATCTGGTTGACAATGTCAGACACCTGTACAAGAGGGGCTAAGGAGGTGAGATTCAACGGTTGAGTTTCTTCAAGGGAGCCGGACAAAACTGAGCAGACCATTTGTGGAAGGTGCACCAGTCTTTGTGGAGAGGAATTCGGGAGTATGCAAACCTGCTGGATGATGGAGTTCTTCTTTGACATGCACACACTCTCACCATCTCCATATTTAAAACCATACAAACTCTGTTTGATTTTCCTCACCCCCAGATGGAAGATCTCAAGAAGGTTGAGGAATAAAGAAACTCCGGATATAACCAACATGAAAACCATGAAAATGTTCTTCTCAGTTGGCCGTGACACAAAACAATCCACGCTGTTGGGGCAAGGTAACCTCTCACATTTGTACAGAGAAGACATCCCGATCCCGTACAGAGCACACTGACCTACAATAAAACCCACTTCTAATACAGATCTGGTCAAGATATGGAAAACGTATGTTCGCAACAGAGAGCCTTGAAGGGGCGCTTTCCTCACTTTCTTCTGTTCGTCCAGTTTTCTGAGCTCCCGCTCTATTCGCTTATGGTCGAGAACGGGGTCCGTCGCCTCCAGTTCAGCTTTCAGACATGCTTTTTTTCGGTGCCTCTCCTTCTCAAGGGTCCTCAAATGGTACAACGCGTGGCCCATGTAAACCAAAGAGGGAGAGGACACAAATATGATCTGAAGGACCCAATAACGGATCAGAGAGATTGGGAAAGCCTGGTCGTAGCAAACGTTTTTGCAGCCAGGTTGCTCCGTGTTGCAAACAAATTCACTTTGTTCATCATCCCAGACGTCCTCTGCTGCGACACCAAGCACAAGCATCCGAAAAACAAACAGGATGGTCAGCCAAATCTTCCCCACAATGGTGGAGTGCATATGGACCTCCTCTAAAATGCTGCCCAATAAATTCCAATCCCCCATCTTCTGTCACATTTTTTTTCCTGCCGGAGAAACAAACGAGAACCATGATTGTTTCACACCACGATTAAAATGGAAGACCAAAACGACGTAAAAATGAATTTGACTTACACTTATCTGTGGTCCTTGTCCTAGCAAATAGACGCTCTTCATTGTTCTCTCCGAGAGAGATAAGTCACTGTCCAGTGCTGCTGACTTTATTGCACGGGCGTTGGGAACTGGGTCTCCAGTTTTCAAGTGATCGATCATGACGCTATAATGGCCTGAGGTTAGATCCACTCTGCTACTTTTAACAGGTCACTAGACTGGAAATAGTACCGACTGACCTGTCAATATTTAGGATGTTTACAGCCTCCAATTCCACGTTGTAGAATGGAAATTCAATGCATAGAACAGTTGTTTTTTTTTATTTTTTATTTTTTTATAAATTTCAGCTTTCACTTACAATCTACTGAGGCAAAATATTGACAATGACAGAAAGCTGCGGAGCCATGAATTGATGCCACTCACCTGTTCGTAAATCTATCAAGTGAAAACATTTTCACGTGTCTCGCCGTTTGGGTTGAACAGAATACATTTTTATTGACATTTGGGGAAACAACCGTGGCAACAGATGCGGATCGTAACACTAACGGTACTCTTATACAACTAGAATTTGATTTGTAAAGAGGCACAAAAATAAATAAAATGATTCACAACATTGAATTCAATGTTTTGATATGAAACAAGAGGAGGGTTTTTTTTGTATGCTATACCCATCCATCCATTTTGATCCAACAAAACACCATTGTGTGTACGGATATAACGCTTCTGTTGAAAAAAAAAATGTATTGATGTATTGATTTTCTCCTGTACATAACAGCCTAAAAAACAGGCCTTTCTTACAAAAATTACAATAATTTTTTTTCAGATTTACATTTTTTTCCGATATGGTTCAACGTATCTTATTCGTCAAAGGAAGGCGAGAAATTTTTATAAGGTGTCCTAAACAGGCTAATACAAAACCACTTCAACCCCCCCCCCCCCGCCCACACACACATACAGCAATAGTTACTGATGCATTGCAAAAAGACGACCAAAACAGGTTATGAGGTGGATATTTCACATTTGATTGCAAGAGTTCATCATTTTGATCACTCCTGGAGTTCAAAAACAGCAACATTCTCTATAAGTGCCAAAATACGCCTTTTAATTGAAAAACTGGCTGTTTACGTACATTAAACAGAATATTACTGGCATCGTACCAAAACCTCCTGTCACAATTTGGTAAATGTCATAAGGGGTTTTTAATTTTTTTTTCTCCACAAATCTCAACAGTCAGTCCACACGTGCGAGAGTTATTTTTCCAAATTGTTCACCTTAAGATGGCTGGCTGTCTTTGACGATGCCATGTTAACGCTTGAGCACACATGCCATGTTTTGGGTCTCCCTAAAAAGTGCAGAATTTTGAGGTATGAAGATTCAGGTCCAATGCCAGCAATACACTATAAACGCTGACAATAGTTGTCAGGATGGTCAAGCCTTTCAGGAGAACGACAGGAATTTAGTGACAATTCAACATTTCGGTGACCAATACATAACATCTACAACATGTACTGTATATAAAGCCATGGAAAAATTATGGTGAGACCGCCATGTTTTCTTCAACTTCTTGTTCATTTTAACGTCTGGCGCCACTTAAAAGTGTATCATGTAAGAAATGCCACCCAAAAAAAAAAAAAAAATCACGGATGACCAAATTATACAACAATATGGTAATTGTGGGGATTATCAAGTAAACCTTTGGAAAATGTCTCTATCAGATCTTAAATTCAGCTCTATTCAGCTCATACGAGTTGTTTTTGTTCTCATTACCATAATGGTCCAAAGAAATGTACTTTTAGCTGTACGAGGCTGTTACAATGAACGGGAAACTGAAAAAACAAGGGTGGTCTCAAATTTTATTCCATAGCTGTATATCATTGGTGTACTTCAGTGACTCTTGTGTATTAAAACCTTCTCAAAATGTAGTTACAGGAAAACAATTCAAATGCAAACAACTTGGGGTATGATCAGGCATTCGTATTCCCGTGCTTCTTGAAGAGCTTCATCAGCTGGTAAAATCTCTGAGCAATCTGTTGGGGGGGAAGAAACACATTAAACATTAAAACATTTAATTTTTCAACATAAACACAATAAAAAAGTAATTGAACACCTGGTTCTTTAGTTTCCAAATATATGGCTTTTATAAATGGTAATATGCCATATACGGTATCATACTGAAGTGGACACTTGCAGAGCTGGACAGGGAAGTAATAAAGACGTATGCCTTACATTTCAAGAGATGAAGGCGAACAACTTGACCCAGTAAATTGACACAGATGAACACATATCGCCAAATTTCACACATCTCAAGGCGTGAAGACAGCTCAGAAGACAGGTAATTTTTCATTTGAGTTGTAGCACCACCAACTGGCTATAGAAAATACATGTCTGAATTAGGGCCCAAGCAAGATCTGCAAGATCTCGATGATTTTTGTCAAAATTCTTCTTGTTTTTCTTCTTCTTCTTCTTATTATTATATGGGCCTGAGCAGCGACTGCTGTGAGGTCCTTATTGTTTCTGGAGAAATTATAATAAACTATATCGTTTATATAAAAAATATTATGGCCTTTGCATCCTTTCATTTTTATTATTATTTTTTTTATTGTGGCCCTTAAAAAAGTTTCGACACCCCTTAAATCAGGGGTGTCAAACATACGGCCCGCGGGCTGGAACCGGCCCCCAAGGAGGTTCAATCTGGCCCGCAGGATAATTTAAAAGTGAAAAAATGCATAAAAGACATGGAATGAATATTTTTAATAAAGTGCAATCCATGGAATATCCGCGAGGAGACACATTGTTTTGATCAGAGAAGAAGACTACAGCAGTTTCAGTCTGTCACTGAGACAGACCCAACACCACAGACGCTATCAAGGACATGTGAATATTCTTTACACATTTAATAGCACTCTCAGTTTGTAAGGTATAGGCAGGGATTAAATTTAGATTTTATATGCACATGTGTAAATGGTTTAAAAATTCCTTTCTTTATAAATCTCGTTTAATCTTAAAGTGCATTACTATATTTTTCAATACCAATACTTGTTTTAAGTTTTGTGCCTTTGTACAATCAGTGGGATCACTTGCAATGCATATATGTGAATGATAAAAGTAAATTGCACATTTGTCGAAGGAAATCTAAGGTGCTTCATGAAATGTTTTGTAAAAGATATGCTCATTAAATTTCAGTAGTTTCCTAATGTTCTTGTGCTTCTTTAGACCAAAACAAAGGAAAGACACATTATTTTGGTTATTCATAGCAGAGTATGGTGTAATTTTAACAGTCCGGCCCACTTGACATCTACCGAGGCCGTATGTGGCCCACAATGTGAAATGAGTTTGACGCCCCTGCCTTAAATGGATCAGCTATGAAGCTAAACAGTCATTTTTGGATGAAATTGTTTGAACTTCTCAACAAATTGTAATTCTATCAACTTTTTACATTTTTTTAAATCAACTTTACAATGAATTTCTCACATGATTATTTTTAACCAGCATTCATATCAAATGTGTAATATTATTTTAAAAAACATTTTCTTTTCAAGGTAGTATAGGTTACAGACAAGAAGAGCTTTATTTTATAATGAAAAATATAATAATACATTTGCACCTGAGTGTAAATGAGTGTCAACGTGAAATGTTGCTTAAATTGATAGGCAAAGCTGCTGTGAAAATCGACAAAAGCAGAACAACTTGGAAACCAAGTTCTGATTAGCAGGAGGTACACAATGAACTCAAAAACAGTTCTTTTCAGAAAATTATCATTTCTACTTATGTCGGCAATATGCCTGAACATTGGTGGACACAATAATTTCTATTGCTGTAGATGAGAACACATGCCCGCTTGGTATAGAAAACACATACAGTACACTAACATCAGCTCACCATTTGCGGTGACCCACCGTTTAGTTGTGAAAAGTGTCAATATTGGCAACCGGGAGCGTGTGAAAGTCATTTGATGCCCAGGGCCAAATGCTTGATTTGATGCCCTCGCCCCCAACCCCACCAACCCAACACATGACTGCCCCCCACTCCGTGCAACCTATCGTAATTTCCGGACTATAAGCCGTGACTTTTGTCACATGCTTTCAACTCTGCAGCTTATGTAACGATTTTTCTAATGGCTGCCAGGGAGCGCTGGAGCACAAAAGGTAAGAGTGAGGGTTGATATATACGTGTTCAGGAAGATGCGATCAACTGTCACACAAGGATTACTATGCCCCCCCCCCCGCACCAAAAAAACCTTGTCGTGAAAGTTGACATGAAATCGTGGATGGCAGAAAGCCTACTGAAGGAATGTTTGACCGAGTTTTATGGCGAGCAATTACTCGACAGCGAACAGTGACTTATGTTGATGGTTTTTTTTTTGTTGTTTTTTTTTTTAACCAGCCCTGTTAGTGCTGTTTTACTGCCGTGGTGCCACCGCGCGTAACAGGGACTATTTGGAAAGTAAAATGAAGGTACATTTTTAAAACTTTTAAAACTCTCTCTGTATACCGTCTTTCTTTGTAAACATCTCATGTTACAACGTGGGCACCTGCGGCTTATAGACAAATGCGGCTTATGTGTGTACAAAATGTTTTTCCTTCAAAAATGTAGTGGGTGTGGCTTATAATCAGGTGCGCTCCATAGTCCGTAAATTACGGTATATAAAAATAAACTGTCAGTTGTTTGGAAGAAAACTTTAATTTTTATTTAAATGGTTGGGCCTGAAAAAAAGGTTTGAGCTTTGGTTTCATTCAATACAGTACTGTATTGTATATGTAATAATTGTAAAAACTACTTCACGGATTTCACTCAACACGGGTTCTTTTTGGAACGTAACCCCCGCGATGAACGAGGGATTACTGTATCACATAATTGATTATACAAAGCATATTTGTCTGCCAGTGACTGCAACTTTTTAGCACTGTCAGGACAAATTCAACATACCTCTTCTGAAGGTTTTTTCAGTTTATCCGACAAGGCAGCAAACGTTTTGCGTGAAGCACCTTTTGTTTTCAGGTCAACAAGTATGGCTCGATCTTCATCTCTGGAATGTCATAGAGGAAAAAAAAAAATTAGCCATGGACAAACTTTTTCATTGGCATACTTACCTTTTTGCCTTTTATATTAGAAATGTTGCCCAATGTTCACCCATCTCAAAAGTCCTTATCGGCATCGTAAATGCTTGTCGGTGTAATCACTCTGCATTTGTCAACATTTTGAAACCAAACAGTATATAAATGAATGCAGATTTATTCAATCAGATTAACAGAGCTGACAACTGTTAGCGATTATCCATATTTAGTTACGAAATCACTAACCGCTACCTCGTAATGCCTGAAACGCTGATTGTGTCTGATATTGGAAAACACTGATCTTAGAATCACTCGCGTTAATAAAAGCTCAAATTATTAAATAGGTTTTGCGTGATACACAGAGGAAAATGTGTCACAATTAATATCTAATATGAATTGAGTAATCATTATGTGCATTATTCCGTTCTACCTAATGATAACTAAAAGTGAATGAAATCAATGTATGAATGTTAACTTTGTCGTCTCTTCATTCACAGGACATGAACACACACCCACACCCACACGTCTTATTGATTCTAAACAAAAATACGCTGGGTTTCCAAAGAAACAAACTAGATGTTCTGCTAAATGGTTCTGGAAGTAAATTTCTTTCATTTGGCAGCTCTAGATTACTTTAAAGCACACAATGGTAGCCTTACAATTCTCTGTGAACATTTCTACAATTTTGGCAGATGATATCAGGTACTGACCTGGTCCACGTCATCACCAAAGCTCCTCTTTTCTTGATGACGTTCCTGGCAGACAAACTATGTGGGGATGAAGGTAAGGATTTTGATTTAACATCATTTTTGGAGCTGGAGGCATTGTCTTCCATCGTGTTCTCTTCATCCTTTCTTGGACGCTTTGCTTTTGACGGCTCTTGGTGCTTTTTCCGTTTTTCACTTTTCGGGCGATCCTTTTTGGATTCTCCCGTGGCTGTACTTGTGTCCTCTGCAATTCTGTCTGACTTTGATGTCTCCATTTCGCTCTGCATGTATGAACACTTTGACATTTCTTGGCTTGTCTGAATTATTTCTGAGCTTTCACTATTGCCTTGCTCAGTACGCGTGTAAGGACTGGTGCTGTTCTGTGATTCAGGAGGATTAGTTTCTGAAGGACAGAGGGGATCTGGACTGTGTTTCTCCATATCGAATGTTGGATTAGGGTTTTCATCCTTCATGAGTTTAACGCCAAGAGTGTGCTCAAGAAAAGTTTCCTTGTACGTAGCGATTTTAAAAGTAGCTTTTGGAGACGCGCCTTTGTTCAAATTCTTTGTTGCACAACCTTCTGACGTAGTTGACAAATGGTCGAAGAGTGGAGGTTGTTTTTTTAGCCTGAAATGATCTTCAGTAAAGCCAATTTCACTTGACACATCTTGGCATGTTACAGGGTCCTCAGAAAGGTCAGAGAGACTGCATGGATGAGCATATTTATGCATCTCGTTGAACAAATATTTGCCTTGTCTTTCCCGAGCGGCCATATCTTCTCCTCGATAGGCTTCTTCTGTTCGTGTTTGTACTAAGGTCTCATCTGTGGGGACGTTCAGACCCGTCTGTATATTCCCCTGACGGATCTTCACAATGAAATGATCATTGGACTTCTCCATCACGAGCGCCTGCATGGGCAATTCAGGCTTCAACACAAAAGTATTGAGAGCTGCCGGTGAGGCCACACTGTTGCTTGATCCGAGGCTGGAGTTGTCTGTGTCAAGGGCGAGGTGAATGTCTTGTACAGTAGCATCTTCACCATCGAGCAGAGCATCCTCACTAATATGAGCACTGATGACACTGTCTGGGGTGGATACAACATGTAACCCGGAGGGTTGGAGAAAGCTCAGGTGGCTGTCAGACTTGAGAGGTGATGGAATAGTAAGAGACACTGCCAGATCTTCATCTAGAATCGAATAATTTCTCTGCGACAAACAGCTGGAGTGCAGTGTTGCTTGATTCTCCGATGGAACCTCTAACAAGCAGCTTTCATCAAATAAAGCCGGATTTGGTCTGTCCCGATTTTTGGACGGTGGTGACATGTCCCGAGGTAAAATGCTAGACCATGTCGCAATCAGTTTCGAGGGCGTATCAAATTTGGTTGGAGAAAGAAATTTCGATGGAGATTCAAATTTATTTGGAGTTGTAATGCTGATGAGTCTTTCTCCATTCTTCTTTGGCGTACAAAGAGCCCATGATGTGCCCTCTCCAATCATTGCATTGGTTTCAAGTAGGTCTGATCCTTGCAGGAGGCACTTAAATATTTCTCCCATTTGAGAATCTCTTACCAGGTTGAATGTTAAACTGGTAGCTTGCTGCTCTGTGAGAAGCTCAAAGTCACTTTTTTCAAGCATGGACGTGCTTTGTGAGGCTACCAAAGAGGCCATTTTATGTTTCTCTGAAACCGGAGATTTTTGAGGAGTACAGTCAACTCCTGGATCTATATTGCCATAATTATGTTTATGACCATGCCTTTTTTCGTTCCCAGTTGGACTAATCCTTATATCTTTGCCTTTGCTACCAAGACCTGTTTGATGAGGAGCAGCACATGGTTTGATGTGTTTCACAGAGCTTAGAGCACCTTTTGTATCTTTGCGAGTCTGCATTTTCTCACGAGGTAATCTCAAAAGTCTTTCAGTGTCACTCGACATATTTTCTTCAGGCAAGGTTTTTGCTGGTCTACACAGGCTCTTCAATGTCATGTAAACGTCCTTGAGTAAGAACTCAACTTGATCATCGACAAAGGCCCACAACTTTTGCTTCAGATCAACAGCTTGCTGGTCAAAGATGCGTTTTACAATACCGTTGTCTGCTACTTTGTTGAACACAGACACAATTAATATTTTTAGCTTTGATTTCAGCTCAACTGCCTGACAGCATATTTGACCAAAATGGGCTCCATCCACAAATTGCATCAGTGACTCTCTTGAATGCTCCATCACACTGAAGAAAATCTTCTTTGGAAAGGTTTTGTGAAGCTTCATATATTTTTTCCGGATTTCCGATCGAAGTGATGTGAACATTTCCATGACTTCTTCTATTGTTGAAAAAGAAGCCTTGGCTGATTTTGGGCAAGCTGTTTTATTCCGGGGACTTTGTGTTGACACACTCGCTATTGTAGTCTTTTCTTTTGAAGCCAGAGACGTTGCTTCGGATTTCCTTTTCAATAGATTTGCTTTATTTCTTCGCTTTTCTTCCACTTTCACCCTTTTGCCAGAATTGAGGGATGATTGTGCCTCCTCACTTCCACTTGAAATGCCAGCTTCCTCAAGCTCGGTGTCAGACGGATTTGAAGGCATTTCTGATAATTTGTCATCCGTGTCCTGCTTGTCATGTTTTAAAGGACATCCTGGATATTTGTTTTCTTTGTTTAAATCCACTTTCTTTGCGTTGGCATCATCAGCTGTATTTGAGAACTCTGCACACATGAGAGAGAACACAATAACTGATTAGGAGGTGTTAATAGGTTACAGGATCATCAAAAATACAAGACAGCTCAAGACAAAAATGTTAAATTATTCGTAACACACAATATCACAATCCTCACTACTACAGTGAAAAGAAAAGAGTAGCGATGAGCTATTTATAGGGGTGCACATTAGCGGTGTGACGGATGCACTTGACCACTGGATATAGAATATTGCACAGGGTTCCCACTCTTCCACTTGTTTTTTATTTATGGTCCTTTTAAGGAATTTTGAGGGCCCATTTAGCCATTTTTAAGGACCTTTTCTCCATTCAGCAGGGGATTCATGGTGGATTTAATGCCCGCTCAGCAATATGCGGGCTGAACAGAAAGCCACATATCACTGAGCTGGTGTTCTAATCATTGCTGCCAAAGCAATGATACATCTTTATTTTTAGGGGCAATCAGCTAACCCATTATTTGACATACTGTATGTCAAATTTTCATTTTCCTACCTGTATTACAGGTAGGAAAATGAAAAACAATTCATTCTTAAATAAAGTACACTAAGAAAAATGTAAATTTAGAAAATATAACATTTCTAAGGATTTTTATTGATTTTAAAAGGTTTCCCTGAAAATTAAGAACATAATTTTACAACTTCTTTTATGGATTCGCTATTGTAGTCTTTTCTTTTGAAGCCAGAGACGTTGCTTCGGATTTCCTTTTCAATAGATTTGCTTTATTTCTTCGCTTTTCTTCCACTTTCACCCTTTTGCCAGAATTGAGGGATGATTGTGCCTCCTCACTTCCACTTGAAATGCCAGCTTCCTCAAGCTCGGTGTCAGACGGATTTGAAGGCATTTCTGATAATTTGTCATCCGTGTCCTGCTTGTCATGTTTTAAAGGACATCCTGGATATTTGTTTTCTTTGTTTAAATCCACTTTCTTTGCGTTGGCATCATCAGCTGTATTTGAGAACTCTGCACACATGAGAGAGAACACAATAACTGATTAGGAGGTGTTAATAGGTTACAGGATCATCAAAAATACAAGACAGCTCAAGACAAAAATGTCAAATTATTCGTAACACACAATATCACAATCCTCACTACTACAGTGAAAAGAAAAGAGTAGCGATGAGCTATTTATAGGGGTGCACATTAGCGGTGTGACGGATGCACTTGACCACTGGATATAGAATATTGCACAGGGTTCCCACTCTTCCACTTGTTTTTTATTTATGGTCCTTTTAAGGACTTTTGAGGGCTCATTTAGCCATTTTTAAGGACCTTTTCTCCATTCAGCAGGGGATTCATGGTGGATTTAATGCCCGCTCAGCAATATGCGGGCTGAACAGAAAGCCACATATCACTGAGCTGGTGTTCTAATCATTGCTGCCAAAGCAATGATACATCTTTATTTTTAGGGGCAATCAGCTAACCCATTATTTGACATACTGTATGTCAAATTTTCATTTTCCTACCTGTATTACAGGTAGGAAAATGAAAAACAATTCATTCTTAAATAAAGTACACTAAGAAAAATGTAAATTTAGAAAATATAACATTTCTAAGGATTTTTATTGATTTTAAAAGGTTTCCCTGAAAATTAAGAACATAATTTTACAACTTCTTTTATGGATTTTTATGAACTTTAAGGACCCGTGGGAACCCTGTTGCACTCAGATCAAGGCTGTCAGTGTGCTTTTGCGCGTCAAGAATATGTTGAACATGTAGTCCTATTTGACTGCCGCTTATTTTCTTTCTCCTGCGCTCCTCGCTTTCGACACGGGCAAAAAATCAATTTCCGGGTTATAAATGAGCAGGACATAGCCACCCACCTTGTGACACCAAACAAAAGAAATACAGCATATATGTGATGTGTTTAACAACAATTCTTACCCAATATGTACTTTTGGATTAAATAGCGAAGTTTGTGGCGAAAATATACACGGGCAGCATACGTACTGCCCCGGTTACGTTCAATTTGGGAGCGACGCCCACCTTTCAACATATCCCAATTTTTTTTTATCTTTGTTCTCGCCCATGTCCTCTTTCTGTAGCAACCTGCGTCTACCTTGATGATGATAGTCCATCTTTTTATGGATTAAAAAAAGTGGCACAGTACAACATATTTTATAAGAACAACCCTCAGAACGTAATACAGGCTCGTGCAGTTCACATTGCGAGAAGCTAAATTGCCTAATAGGCAGTGGTGTGTGGCCAACTGTCATTTTTTCCAATGTTTGTGTCCTAGTCGTATTTGGAAGCATCACGTTGTGTGCGGTACCCCTGATACACATTTTGACTAGTTCCAATATCTGTATTATCAGATTTAGAGTGGGGAAAAGAAGACAAATAGCGCAGATTCCGTGGAATGAACCAATATATTTTTGCTCATCCTCAACAATGTGAGCATATCGCAGCACGTCACCAAACCACCCATGCACTGATTCTTGAGAACAACAGAGAAAAATGTATCATGATTACCAATGTTACCTTTTTGCAGGCTTTTGACATGCCCAGGCTTTCCAAGAACGCAGTGGCGGCTTGTCTTCATTAGGTGGATTGGACTCCTCAAAGGGCTGATTGCATCTGGGATTCTCTTTAGATGGCAAAGCATACGCATCATGGAGTCCTCATCGTGAAGCAATGGCATTGAAATGGAAAGCTCAACATTTTTTTCCGGAGTTTTTTCGGAAGACTTTTTTTTCGGTGAGACAGTGAACTCGCAAGAATTTTTTGGTGGAACAATTTCTTCTGTTGTGCTGCTGACCTTTGACACACCAATGGATGTGCTTGGGTCAGTTACAGGGCTTAGGCTACCACCGTTGTCCCTTTTCATGAAAAAATTAATTGCCTCAGGCAAACTAACCTCCTGTTGAGGACCCAATTCCACATTTATAGTGCTCGATACAGCATCTGTATCTCTGAAATCATCCTGAGCACAATGTGTGTCTTCATTGGTTGGGCTGGAAAACAAAGGGGGATTCACTCCTGGGAGAGAGTCCTGAGATATGATGAGATACGTTTGTTGAGCCCCTGGATTAGCCTCAATGTCTTCAGGGAGAAATATATGCTTTGGTGTGACTGCATATTCCATAACTTTATCTGGAGCTTTGGTCCCCAAAACTCGTCCTTTGGAATTTTTTTCACTTGAAGCAGCGCATTGTGCAACAGCAGCGCGCTGATATTTGTTCCGTCCACTGTCTACTTTTTGTAAAGAACTGCTTGGCTGTTTACCAGTAACGTTTCCATACAGGTTATTGAATTCAGTTTCATCTGGTTGTTCATGTGAATCTAATTGGACATCTGGCCTAAATTTAGCTTTGATATCATCTTTCCTATCTTTTCTTTTTCGAGAAGTATTACCTTGTGCTTTTGGATTGTGATGTGTCGACATGCGATTTGCTGCTGAATCTATGGATTGGCAGGATGAAATAGCTTGGATAGAATTTCCTTCTGCTTGCTGAGTATCTAAACGAGTTTCATGGTCACTTGTATCTTTTTCCTGGACATCATTCACTTGCAACTTTTTTGAAGTTGGTGAGTCAACAGAATCTGAAAGTAACTTTTCTGTTCCCTTTAATTCATTGCCGTCAATTTGATCCCTAGCATGTAGATCGGATTGCAAACCATCATGGGGCCCATTTTGAAATATGTGATGCAATGCAGTGAGTCCTTCCTGGATGGTATTGTTGGGTACTGTTTTTTTAATTGGTGAAAGGGTCAGATTAAGTGTTTCCATGAAGCACAGTTTGCTGTTTTGGCCGTTTTCCTCCACGGGTTCCTTTGCTGATGTTTTTCCAGTTTTTCCTTGTCTTTCCTTATAAATGGTATTGCGTTTAAGATTGTGGGATTCTTCTGATGGCCGATTTTCAGCTCGTCTGCTTCTCTCAGATGATGAGGTTCTTCTATGGCTACTGGTCATTTCTTCATGTTGCCTGTCTTCTTTCCACTGGTAATCTTTTGAAAGCTTATCCCGTTGCATCTCTTTGGGGAAATCACTGTAGTTTTCTGCTTGCCGATTTAAAGAGGACCTCTTCTGGTCTTTTGAGTCGGAATGCTCCCTCTGTGAACCGCTATGTTTAAGAATAATCTTTTCACGATGTCGGCTATAGTCCTCTGTACCTCTAAGATGAGTTGAATGTTGAGAATCTAGGGAGGGTGTCTTATGTCTCTTTTCTCCAGTTCTCGCTTTATAGGCATCTGAGGAACCTATAGCATGTGATTTTTCGAATGGAGGACTTTTACTCCTCTCTGATCTGTGATATCCATCGACATTTTTGTTGTCTCTGGTTTTACATATCCTGGATTCATATCTTCTTCCGGTGTCTTTGTCGGATTTATGAGGTCTATCTTTCTCAACAGAATATCGGTCCCTTCGAGGAGCTGAACTAGTTCCATACTTCTTGTCTGTGGTATCAAATCGTTTCTGACATTGTTTTTCTCTGTCTTTGGTTTTGTGCTGATCTGAACCATGATGCCGGGTTGATGAACTGATGAGAGAATTGCTGATGCAATGTTCGTTTCGTTTCTCAGGCACGAGACCATGTCCACTTGTAGGACCTTTGGAATGTCTTGTCTCAGTGCAAGAGGTATTGGCCTTGCGGTTAGGGCTCGGACTTTCTCTCCTGGGTGGTCGAGGAGGAACCTTTGGGGGATGACTGTCCCTCGATGATGAGGACACTCGAGGAGAAGTGTGCAGCAAAGGACTAGGTGTTGTAGATTCTGGAATCCCTCTCATGGAGATAGTGTTAGCCTTACTGGAGGAGTTTTGATCATGAAGATTATTTGCTCTAGAATGATGATAGTGAACTTTGCCTGATCTGTTGGGAAAAAAAATAACATTACTTCATTCTGGTGTACAAATCACATTTTTAGTCATGAATGGAATGTGAAATAAAAGGCAACCAGTAGGGATGTAACAATAATGGCAATATCGCAATATTGTGTGTGTATATATATATATATATATAAATATAAAATACACAATATCACCCCCCAACTCCCTTTTTTGAAATGCTTATTGGCAGTGCATCAAAATCATTTGAGGAAGTTAAAAATTATGTAATTGAATAGGTGTGGCACCACGGTGGTCGACTGGTTAGTACGTCCACTCACAGTGCAGTGGTCAAGGTTCTGGCCTTCCCGTGCCTGCGTGGGTTTTCTCCGGGTACTCCGGTTTCCTCCCACATTCCAAAAACATGGATGGGAAAAAAAGTATTTAAAAAATAAAATTAAAAAAAATTTAAAACGCAGGTCACCTTTAACCTACGGTAGCGCATGAGCTGCATCACCGGAAGTTGTTTGGGGTCAACAGTCTGCAATTTCAGCTTGCAATCGGGGCTGTTGCAATATATGTTTTATTTTATTTTTTTTTAATTCTCATTCAAAGGTTTGCAATTCACCTATGCCACTGGCAAATAATGTGAAACTGGAGCGCCAAGAGAAGCATTTTAAAATGGTACGCATGATCTACAATACTGTACTTAACACGCTGCAAAGGTGCGTCCCATGCCTCCGCGTCAGGTCTCTACTCAGGGAGGCAGTGATTTCCTTGTCAGGAACTCACAAACTACTTTAATTTACGGTTTCGTTCATGTTAGGGGCCGTTATGTCTATTTCTCATCATGGTGTGTGTGTGTGTGTGTGTGTGTGTGTGTGTGTGTGTGTGTGTGTGTGTGTCGCGTGCGTGTGTGTGTGTATTAGTATGTGCATGTGCAGTAATGGATCGATTGCGGGACACTGGTTGCTTCAAAAGTAGATCTTCACTGAAAAAATGGTTAGGCACCCCTGATTTAGGGTGATCAATTAACCAGCTAGCATGTCATTGGAATGTGGGAGGAAACCGGACTCCATGGGAGAAAACCCACACAGGCACGTGCTCACCAGTTGACCACCGTGCTATATTCAGAGATGAAAGTGGACTTTTCTGAAAATTCCGGAAAAAATAAATAAATAAATGTGTGTGTGTGTGTGTGTGTGTTGTGTGCACACGTGTACCCTTTGTGGCTTCCGTTCGGGCCGAAATTTCGAAATCTCCAAGATATGGCGAGGCCATGAGAATGCGAGGCGAGGGTATTACTGTTGTGGCGACTCCACTCAAGCTAAGCGAGCCTCAGCAGTAGATAGTCCGCTGCTCTCTGCTGTGCGTGTTTCAGCGCGAACATGTACGCAAGCGCGTCTTTTGATTTCAACCAATCAGCGCCGACGCAAATGACGTCACACACGACAACAGCTAAGCTAAGTTAGCCGAGACGACACTCGAAGTCGGACGGACACGATTTTCTGCCAATCTGTGTTTTTCCCTTTTTGGCCAAATATATTTTTTACGACAACTGTCTTGTTGACGGCGTCTTTTATTCGTTCCACTGGGGTTTAGCAGGTGTGTTTATAAAGAGACGAAAATTGTTTGGGGAATATCCCCCACGTTCTAGTTGAGATGGTATAACCCAAGAGGCAAAATGACGCTTGCTACTGTTGTTGCGAGTTGCCATTCGTTCTACTAAACCATTAGTCAAACGCCATCATGCCTTCTGTCGTTATTACACAAACAAAAATCTCTTTACTGTTACTAGTGTTAGTGCCTCAATATGGCTACGCTCGTGAAAGCAATACAACGAACTCAAACGCGTCTTCGTTCAATGTTGTCAACTAATATCCGGATTAATTTTATGCAAATTTTCCTCAATTCTCCGGAGAAATTTTCATAAAAATTTAAAAAACCCGGAATTCCGGGAAAATCCGGAGGACTTTCATCTCTGTATATTTCATTTGATTCTCGTTGATTTGCATATTTACATGGACATACTTACGATTGGTTCAGCCTTTGAATCACAGCATCCTTTCGCATAATCTCCTGTCTGGCTGTCCGTAAAAGCGCAGAGATATTTTTTTTGAGGTGGGTGTTCTCAGTGTTCAGCCCTGTGTTCTAAAACAAAAACAAAAAAACCCAAACAAACAAAAAATGTGTTTCAATTATCATTTTCTTACCAACATGTTTGGTTGGGCTCCATTAAACAGCAATAAATACAATTACAAAGTTGCCAACATTTAAAATTCAGTTCAAGAACAATTTATCTGAATTTCCATATTAAACAAATTTGTCAAGACCATTATCGCAGGGCCGTGATCGCATATATTAGTCCCCACAGGAATATGTGATTTCAAAGCTCTCCACGTAATTGAAAACCACCTGCAGAAATATGGAGAAGGTGCAGAATATTAAATTTACATGTCGTTTTCATCCGGGCAGCTATGTATTGCGATCAGACATGGTACACTACAGGGCATGATGCCCAATTAAATTTTGGGGAGGCTACGGGGCGGGGGAGAAAATCCGCTCTTTTTATCTTTTCGGTCGTATTACAAACACAAATGCGTCTTCTAACGTTAACTGAAGTCGTCCGTGATGTGACGCGGATGCGCGCATAAAGCACGAGTTGAGTGACATGCAAAAGACGATGACACGAGGCAGTGTTTACGGAATTAAATGTGATCCAACATGTAGGGTCTCAGTTTTTCATCATCTCATATCGACAGAGGAGCGATGCGGTAGACGGTGGAATTATTATGGGAGAATCAGGCGATGCTTTTGTTTCTCTTCATTTCATGGAGATGTCCGGAAAAGATGACGTAAAAGAGGCGTCTACTAAAGATGATGCCACAACTTTGCCGCACTTAATAAATGAACTGTCTGTGTTGTTTACTTTTATTATCATACCGTATGTAAGTGAGTTTACATTATCCATTATTATTATTATTATTATTAAATAAATCTGTGATAGATTTACAAAAAGAATACTGTGAATTATTTTACAACAATGTTCCAGTGTTTTTCAGACAAGCCGGCATATACCGAAAACTATTACGACAGTCAAGACACAGGTGCCGTAAAGTCGTGGCAATTGTTATTCGCTGATGAATTAAGTTTCCGTGGGGACACAGTTGTTGTCTGAGCATTATTGGATATAATAATCTGGCGATGACGCTTACATTGTGTCATTGCCCTTGTTCCTCGCCACTGATATGAATCCATTAAGGCTGCTGGCAATCAGGGTGAGCCTCAAATCGTTTGCTTTTGGCACATGTTGGATTGACGACGCCGTGTCTGCAATTGCCATATTGTCAAACACACATCGCAATGTATGTTTGACAATCGATCAGTATGAGGGCCGCAATGATTTAGCGTTTAGTGATTTCACTCACAATGTCCAAACAATTTGTAACAGTTGGCAGCTCTGCAGTTATAAAAATGTCAACGGCATAAAAGGGGTATAATGCACTAAATTAAACTGGCAACACATACTCACATAAACCAACCATAACTTTTCTCATAAAAATGTCAGTGGGATGGATACACGCAAAAATTAGACATTGGAAGTGTGATTTTAAAAGAAGTACTTTATGAGCCCAATGATTACGAGCAACAGCTACAACAAAAGATCAAAGATAACAAACCTCGATCTCCATTTTCTGAAGTCTTCTGTGCAATTCCTTAATTTGGTGCTGGGCTGCTTGAAATCGGGATTGTAACTGCAAACATTAAAAAAAAAAAAAAAAAAAAAAAAGTGAAAAGGATTGTGTAAGCTAATTGCAACCGCTGCCTTTTTAACAATGAATACAAAGGATGAACATAATGATAGCCATTTCATAGTTTATTGTTGTGTATGTATGGCTTATAGACATGGATACGATTTGTAATTAAATGCTAGTGTGAATCACTGCCTTCAGAGACAGAGTTCATCACCTCACCAGTGTATGATGGTAGCAAAATTACTTTACACATTGAGGGCCTCCTCGCCAAAATTTTGCACAAACATTGAGCCTTGCAAAAAAATATTTTCATGTTGCCATCCATGATTATAAAAAAGGTTTAAAGGAACCTTATCCTGTTACATTTGACCTAGGGCAACAAAAATCGGGAGGCACGTGGAGCACAGGGGTTTTAATGCAAAAAAAAAGAATAATTTGACCGAAAACTTTTTGTGCTAAAAATGACTGCAGTCAATTAATCAAAATCTAGCAGTGTAGTGGGGCGCACACTAATTCCTATTAAATAATGTTGAACATGACAAGTAAATACTGTATCTTGTCCAAACAGGGAGAGATTTTTAAACACACATATAAAGACAGAAAAGAGAGAATGGAAGCATTCAAGTAAACAGTGAGCTTCATTTATAACCCCCCCCCCCTCAAATTTTTTTCCAGGTCAAATTTTGTGCATTCTGATCAATTTCATTGGTACAGACACTCTACAACAGAAAAAAATTACTGTTCTTAGAATCTGGATTTGGTACTGTATGTATATCATTTTATGAAAATCTGAAGATGTTTAGATTGTGGCCCACAGTTTCCTTTGCTGCCACATTAGTGCCTCATATTTTACACTGTAGCAGTTTGAGATGGCTGAAATCTAAAGTGCATTACAAATAACATTCAGGACTATTTTTTAAAAGTATTATTATTGCGATTATGTTTGGCGAGAAATGTCCACCCTGCAGTTTTGATATTACGCGCATGCAGGTAGCTGGCTGTTTTTAAAAAAAATGTTCTAAGTACACCATGATCAGTGTGCCATTTTCTCCTTTCTCGTCAAGTCGTGCCCATCTCTATCTATTTTTGACTACAGTGTCAATGTGCTGAGGCAAGTTCATCTGAGTCGCGAACAAAATTAGCTCAGAATGAATTGTTTTCGTGTCAAACCTGCAGCGTCTCATCACGAAGATTCAGTTAACGCTTCCTGCTGCATCTACAAAAGTCCCTCCAAATTCCAGCTGTAAGGACGGCTTTACTGCGACGAAGTTTGACAACAACAGTGCATGAAACTGTGCTCATATGACATTTTCATCAGGATGTACCCAGTCTACTGTCCAAACACAGCTGGGATAGGCTCCAGCACGCCTGCTCGTGAGCCTTGTGAGGATAAGTGGAACCACTTAATGGATAGGATGGATGACTAGAACAACTTAACTGTCAAAGCACGCACGCCTGTGTTTTTTTTCCCTTCTTCTCAATTTTCGTTTTCCTAATGACGGAATTCCGTCATGGTGACAAAGGTATTTAGGCATTGGTGTAGCACCGTGATACGTACAAAAAAAAGTCTGTTTTCGATAGCCTAAAATGTATAGAAAGTGACCTAGAAGTTTTTGAATGTACAATTGTTTTTTTTGCATATTTACGGAGGTCACACTTTTCCACCCTTGTACTTAAGATTTCATCTAATTGATTTCAAACTTGGTCTGTACCATCTCAAGACCGGAGACATTAAAGAGGAATAAAAAAATCTTGAGTTTTGAGATACAATATGACAGAGGTGGGGCATACTATTTTGTGTATACAGTATATTATTACAATTATTTTGCTAAAAATACATTCAGCCTGTTTATTTTGCCACATGAAAAATAAATATTAGATAATAAAAGTGACATTCCTTTAGAGCAGGCATGTCCAGCTCCGGTCCCCGCTGGCCGCTGTCCTGCCTGTTTTCCGTCATTCCCTGCTAACAACACACCTGATTCCAAGGATCAGCTCATCAGCAGGAACAGATGGAAAACGGCAAGACAGCAGCCTTTGGGGCCCAAGTTTGGACACCCGTGCTTTAGATACATTTTAACTATCACAATTAGATAACTATAAAAATGCTCACAGTTTGAGTTAAATTTGTTTATATAGCCCTTCAGGTCAAGTGGGAAGTAATTTCAGAAAATACCAAATGAAATATTTGTTGTCACAAGTAATTAAACAAAATACATAAAAAATACATGAAAAAATAATTTCTGTTTCATAAATTCCACAAAGAAATCATTTTCCCGAAGTGAAATCCTGACAATAAGTGTCAAACCCGGATTTGCCCCTTCAATGATAACAATAGCAGTGCAAAGTATGGAAAGTGTGCAAAGCCAATCAGAAATCAATTCGGAAAGCAATGTTTCAAACTTTGCGGCACTTGTCAAACCTGCAAGCCTATAAAACACATCGGAGGGGATCCAGGTGTTTTGAAGAGTTGGAAGAAGAGGAGGTTGTTGGCAAGATGTATGGTAGACCATACAGGTACGAGACAGATGCTTAGGATGCGGAAAATGTTGTGCCCGAATGGCCGGACATGGAGTGGAGATGAGACCCATCGAGATTGGAAGAATGGTAAACTATATAGACTGCACTTATTATTTTAGCATTATTGTTTGAAATTCTATGCTGTGCTGTAAATTGCACACGATGGGATTACCTATTTGGTCCATGTATTCCCACTAGCGCTGAGAGCACATGTCAGAGGGTGTTGGTGTCCTACATTGTCATTGCTAAGGTAGTTCTGTGCGATGTAGGCCACTCTGCACAATATATCGGCAGGATTGATAGTTGCAAACCATTACAGAGGATTCCATCCATGCACAGATATATATATAAAAAAAAAAAATCGTACAGGATTCCATCCATGTAGAGGTATATTTTGGTTCCAATGTTTTTGTAAACAACAGCCAGACTTATTGATTGATTATCACACTTACCTTTTTGCAAAGCCTTTATCATAAGTAAAACGGTTACGAAAACAGAGGTTTGTTCTTGGAACAAAAAAATTGTAAGAGGAAAAAAAATCATACATTTAAAAAAAAATCATAAGGGGAAAAAATGATGAACCTTGACAAGGGGCCACAGATGAGAGGATAGAGATAAGTAGATGGTGCTCTCTCGTTGCAACGGGAACGAGCAGAAGACTGGCAAAAATCATGCAAAAGATGGCTATTTTCAACCAAATTAAAACATGAACTCACACTAGTGGGATCAGATTAAATTATTATATTACCAGCACACACTGAAAAATTTGCCACATTTGCAAGTATATTGATCGCAGTCTCAACCCCCGTCAAATCAGCCAGCTCTATATATATTCCAGATCTACACATATTGATTGTCCTTTGGAAAGTAATCAATGGGGCCGGAATCTGACATGTACTGTTTGCTCTGCACCAAAAAAAAAAAAAAAAATTCTCTCTCTCTCTCTCTCTCATATATAAAAACACTGTTTGAAATTAAGGGGGAAAAAATCTCAGTTAATAAAAGTCAGTATCAGTGCTTTAAAACTGGCAATTTCAAAGCAGTGAAAAAAATGGTTGCCTGTCAGCGAGCACAATGTACTTGTCTCAACTGGTATGTGACACAAAAAAGTTTGGGGACCACTGCTCAAAAAGACACCTGGGAACCATTTTCAATTCTGAAAAAAAATGTGAAAAATGTCTTAGTGTAAGCTATCTTTTCAGATGACGCAAAACTAACAAACCTCGGTATGAGATGATTCTTTATCCTGTTGTTCTTCTGTTACAATCTCTTCATATAGATCCATTGATTCTTTGAGTTGTTGAGAATTTGGAGAGAACCTCTCTGTAAAATAAAAAAAGGAATACCACAAAGTCAAACAAAAAATTGGAGCGTGACAAACAAACAGGGTAAACATTGGTAAAATCAAAGCCTATTAAAATGAAAATGACTGAGAAAAAAAGGTAGGAAGGGAGCCAGCCATTCTAACGATGAAATGCCGTTATTAAAACAAGGCAAAAAGGCCACAAAATGTTTTTTCCCTTGGGCTTTTGAATGGTGTTAACATGCTGTTAAGGTACTTTTCTACAATGTTACCAATTGTTTCTGCAATAGTAGCATGTCCACTAAAATCACATTTTTCGAAATATGGAGCAGATTAGAGCAGATCAAAAGAAATCATTTTAAAACAGATGTTACCTAAACTCTTGGAATGGTTGAGATCAAGGTCATCGTAGATATCCACAGAATCTTCATTGATCGCAACTGTGGATTTTAAAATGATATCAGACTTCCAGAGAATGTCATAACGGCATATAAAAAAGCCACATTCAAGACATGCAGTGAGCCAGTTGTTACATCTGTAACTAAAGCTACCTAACCCAAAATAAAAACAAACAAACTACTGCTGGTTTACAAGGCACACATGGGAAGTTTTATTTTGTTTATTTGTTGAATGTTTGAGTCAAAGAGATGATAGTAAATACTGTTTGTAAATACTATGGAATATCTTTGTTGTCGTCTTCACTGTGCTCCATAATTGACATAAAAAAAAAAAAATGACCGTGGACATCAGTACATGGTGTGGTTCTTTACAAGAGTTTAAAAAATTGTCTATACTCCAAATGCGTGTGATGTATTAAGTAGTACATTCTCAACGGCAATTGGTTGTCACCAATACGCCGCCACTGTAGAAGATGATTTGACGGTCCTAAATTATTATTGAGCGATGATGGAAGCGCTTTTAAAATATGATGACGGATTGACAGACTGGCAAGACCATTTTGGTTCATCTTGAAATTATTGGATTGGATTGGATACAACTTTATTGTCAAATGTGCTGTATGTGTAATATGACAGACTGACGATAACGGACGTGTGGCCCAGGAGTTGCCGAATGATGGAGTGACAAAATTTACTGATGTGCCCACTTCTGGTACTGTATATAGTAGAGAAAAAAAAAAAAAAAAAAAAAAAAAAAAAAAAAAAAAAAAAAAAAAAAAAAAAGAGGATCGGGACCTGGCTCTTTATCTTTGAGACCTGATAACAGTTTTTAAAGTAGCCCACTGCTCTTATATTTTTCTACATTCATTCTACTCTTGAGTAAAACCTTCTTACTCTTTCCCAGCATTTATTTTATTTAACTTGCCTGATTTGCTTTGCATGCTAATATAAAGTCAGGTTTACTGAAGTATTGACCATGAAGCGTGTAGTTAGCAAAAACACATTGATCAGTGTTCATTCCTGTTAATTTACATATTGTCATGTTTGTGTACTGCTATGATTATTTTGTAACGTGAAACTATGTATCTGTATTGTTATTTAAGATGATGCCTATTTGCAAGTGGCAATAACGTTAACACCATACCTTACATCATAACTTGAAAATTATAGTTCCTGCAAAAGCACTCAGTCAAGACCGTAAACTAGTTCACCATCTTATTTTGTATTATTCTAGATTTGTTGTACTGTTCAGTAAAAAAAAGTGAAAATTATGTATACGTTCTTATTTTGCTTTTTTTTTTCATTTGCTGCATGCTAATAAAATGTTGAACTGCATTTATTCACTTGTCAGTACAGATGCTTTAAAAACTGTCAAAATAAAAATAGAACATACAACATGAAAAAAACCCAAGAGGTTTTTTTTCACTTGCCATATAGCCCTGCCCTCCATTCAAGATTACAAATCTTCTGCAATATTTTTTGATTGTACATACCACCAAAAGCCACGGCGCTCCTGGTGCTCTCCATTCTTTCAAATAACTCTGCAGCTCACTTTGTACCTGAAAGTAATTTGAATTTAAAGTTATTACTAGAGGCAGGCTTAGAAAATCTCGTTTAACACACATATACACATATTTACATATATATCATCAGGTGCATGGTACAACGTTGAGGAGATAACCACTACGTAAGGTCCGCGAAATATTAGGTCGATATGACATGTATCATTTTTTAAAACTTGGTCCTCATTCCTTTTGTCAATGAAGACTGCACTCGGTAAAGCCGTTGTAATCAGAAACATAAACAGACAGACATTACTCGACATTTGTCCTCTAGCTTTGACTGTCACACATCTTGCCTTGCATATCGCCGAATAGCATTACCAACATCCATTGTTTTTGTTGTTTTCAATTGTACAGTCGACCAACTTGGTAAGACATTTTGTGTTCGGTTTAATGGTGAAAACTGATTCACTGCTATTCCCTATTGCAGTAATAACAAAACTGACATTAAACCACGGTAGTTACCGAAAGTGTATAGTGTACTAAAACATGGACGAACTTAACTGTTTGGATTTTGTTCCACAGGTACCATTTTAAGTAGATTAAGTATAATGTCGCGCCAACAACCCTCCACACAGGAAGTAACGACACATCTTCCCGCGAAAGAGACACGACTACGTCTCCATGGGTATCTTGAAACACAATAATACGATTTCACCCCCTCCCCACTCCCAACAAAAAAAAAAAAAATATCCTACCTATTTTCTGCACGTAAGACTCACATTCCCTCAAACCAGTGATGTTTGTAAAACCATAAGACTGCCTCATACTCGTTGTTTGGAAAAGCAAAGTTGGTCGCCTCGCTTTCAATCCAGCCTCGATCCTCATCCGTTTCGGATTACGTCATTTCTGCGTCCCTTGCTGGGCATAGATAGAAAACACAACCAGGCCCGGCTCGAGCGGCGTAACTCTATTGAGGGACGCCTAAACGCATCGCCATATTGGATGTGTCACAGCTGCTTGTTAAATTAACGCTAGTCAATGGGCTAAACTACAGACCAATGCCTCTCATTCACTGAACTGGTTGCCAGTCAATCATAGGGCACGGATACACAAATAACGACCATCCACACTCACAACCACACCTAGGTACGATTTAGAATGTTTCCTTAAAGTACCATACATGTTTTTGGAATGTGGGTGGAAAACGGAGTACTTGATGAAAATCCACGAAGGCACAGTGGGAGAAACACAAACTCCACACAGGAATGCCGAGCCGGGAATCTAACCCTGGAACTCTGCACTGTGAGGCGGACCTGCGAACCAGTCTTCACTGTGCTGTAAATAAAAGTAATCGTCATGAAAAGCGGTTGAGAAATCATACGGTTATAATTTATTTAACGGCTACATTTACTGGCCCCACCAAGGTGGCCCTCGTAGATAGTTTGCTTCGACGGGTTGCTTCAGTGCTCTACATGATTCTGTTTCTCTGTCTGTCTGTCTGTCTGTCTGTCTGTACAATACATCATTCTGTTTCTGTTTCTCTGTCTGTCTGTCTGTCTGTCTCCCTTTCTGTCTGTCTGTCTGTCTGTCTGTCTGTCTGTCTCTCTCTCTCTCTCTCTCTCTCTCTCTCTCTCTCTCTCTGTCTCTCTCTCGCACCCTCGCTCACAAGCTCTTGATACAGATATCGCTCTTTTTTATTTTTAATATGAACACATGATTATTTTCTTGGAAGTTTATGAATTGTCTTCAAGAATAAATATTATATCTATAGATATCTATAGATATCTATAGATATATCTATATATCTATATATATTTTTGAAACATTTGACATTTTCTCAAAAAATGTTGGCATATATTTCTCTGATGTGTTATTTGTCGCAGGATGACGTAGTCAACTCGACCCGGAAATACTAGCTTTCTCACACACGTGGATAGCATATTATCACGTCGGATGGGAATCTGCTCGTCTACTTCGTAAAAACAATACGCGAACTTTTCACGGGCTACCTCTTCATGGAACATTTGTACATTAGAGTTCATGAACGTTTTTATTTTTCTTAACTATTTCTTAAGAAGACCAATGATACGATGGAAAATTTAGAACTGAACCCATCATCACTGGCAACGATATGTAACCATATCGACAAAAGCCACAGCCAACTAAGCCAATTTCTTTCCAAGCAGGTTTGTTGGAAGCAGAACGTGTGGTAGATTTGTGTGTTATGCCGCTTTTTTTGCGTTACCTGATCATGGCATTCTGTAAAAAAACATTGCTGTCCTATATTGTGCTTTAAGTCGATTTTGTCCCATTACTTAACCGCGTGGTTGTTATTATTTGAGGAAATACAATCTTACGTGACAAAGTTACTTTTTTTTTAACTTTCTTCAGATATGGAGTCAGCAGGACAGACGATGTATTCTGGAGTGCCTCGCCCAGGTGCTGTTGGAGAAGGATTATACATTGTTAATTGCAAGACACTTGAGACCCCTTGTTCTGGATTTGCTGGAGCGAAATGCAGAGAGGGTTAAGAGAAATGGCAGGATCAACCACGACCTCCACGAGCGCCTGTGTGTGGCACTCAGCAAACTTCTTTGGATTAGCCCCGATGCTCAGGCGTAAGTCTGTATATCTCATGTTGTTCTACATTATTTGTCCATGTTACCTGTACTGGATGTTTTGTGTATGCGCCGTGTGTTTGAACCAGTAAGCACGTTCTTGACACAAACTGTCTCGCATCATTGTGTGTTTTCATTTTCAAATGTATTTTAAACTATATTTATAATGGCTTGACAGCAGGAGAGTTCCACTTGCTTAAAAAGCGGAAATGTAGTTTTATTGTGAATGCCTGTGCGAGTGGTTGAGGTCATTCCGTGAGTGTGTGTGCATTACTACGTTCATGTGTGGCATGAAAGATTGCCAACTCTTCCACTTTCCCACAGTCACAACTTAGAAAGACATGCTTTGTAATCAAAACGTGGTACCTTTGGATTTCACATGAATTGGTGCTTGGTCGCACTGACACAAATCGGTCCAGACCCCCCCAAATTACCATCCTTACACATTGTATAGTTTAGTTCCTCTGTATTTGTTTTTGCTTTGGTTTTGCTGTTTTTTTACACTGCTGTAAGGTTGGTGTTGGAAATGAGAATCGATTCTCATTTGCCTTAGCTGGATAAATAAAGATTAAATGTATATAAATATAATAAAACTCTTTTCTGCTCACATTTATCAGGTTTGCTGCAAGGTACTTCAGTGATGCCCCGCCCGTGTTTCAGAGGCTCTTCTTCACCAGTGAAGAGGCGTCAACTGTTCAATACGGTCCAAGGCGAATGAAATTGCGTGATCTCATGGCTGCAACTCTTCGTTTCCTCAAGAGCGATTGTGGCAAGTTTGAAAAGCTCTGGGACTGGAGTCCATGTGTTTCCCAGTTGCTCATGAGCGATGTCCTGGTTCGAGGGTAAGTACCGTCATCCTCTTTTTACCACTTGCAGCTAAAAGCGGGTGCAAATACTGTTGTGACCCATTGAATCGCAATGAGGTGACCCTGGTTTGGGAATTCGAGGTTTGAAATCATGCTTGAGACTAAAACAGATACGGGAACTGGTTGTTGGATGTGGATATGGTAGCGAGATGAAGCCTCTTACACAAGCGGAGGAGTCGTGCTTGTGTGCGAGTGTGCGCACGTGTAAAGATGATTTTATAATCCTGCGAGAAGGAACAAAAGCCATACAGCAAAACATCTTCTCCAGTGGTTCTTCAAAGAATACTTTTCTGAGCTTGTATTTTATAATGTAAGCAACACCATAATATTTTCACAAAACATGGGTTGAACGCCACCATTGTTTCCACTTATCCCGGAAAGATGTTCTTATCACTGATTTCCTGGTTTTGAAACAGCAACTGTACCCGGAACTACAAACATGCTCAACATTCTAATCAGTCTTTAGTCAGTATTAAGCAAATTACATATGAGGCATACTGTGGTTATTCGGAGTGCTGTGACACACAGCATTTCGGTTCGATACTTCAGTGTCATGATTCAAAGTGTGATTACCAGCTGATCGAGATCCTCTCGCTCGATCGGTTATGAGGAACTGTTGTGCTGAGTCCCTCATTCAGCGCAGAAGGCATGCAGCAGGTGCCGTTTGGGCGATGACAGCGTGCTAATTTGGAAACGTTGTGGCGTTTTTACTTTTTATTCTTGTGGCATCCACCCATCTTGGGCATTGAACCCTAGCCGATGCATTGGGAGCTTAAAGTACAGGCTGCCGCCACAACTCGGCATCCTATTAGAATGTATGGGAAGCAGATGGAATTTTTGGCGACATGTTCGGTATATGTTGGAGCGCTCCCTCTGATTGGTCAGATGTTAAACGTCATCCTTGCCTCAATGCCTTCCTTTGCGCAAAATGCGGCCTGCTTTGAGGATGGGGCCCTACGCACGGTGTGCGTTTTTTTTGGGGGGGGGGGTGACCCTGGATGTGCTCAGCACAAAGTAACATTTACCTTGCTACTTGTCAGGTATTGCCAATGCAGCAGCTGTTGTTTGATGGCGCAATTATAAGAGAGAGCTGAAACTAGTACAAGAGGAGACTTGTGTGCCACTCACAGATAAATGTGTGTATATGTGCCCCAAAAAAAAAAAAAATTGTGACATTTTATCATCTTGCCCCAAGTGGAGGAGTTTAGGTATCTTGGGGTCTTGTTCACAAGTGAGGGCAGTAGGCAGCAAGAGATCGACAGGCAGATTGGTGCAGCATCTGCTGTTATGCGGACTTTGTATCGCTCTGTCGTGGTGAATAAGGAGCTCAACCAAAAAGCGAAGCTTTCTATTTACTGGCCGATCTACGTTCCAACCCTCACCTATGGTCACGAGCTATGGGTTGTGACGGAAAGAACGAGATCCCGGATTCAAGCGGCCAAAATGAGTTTTCTCCGCAGGGTGTCTGGGCTCTCCCTTCGAGATAAGGTGAGAAGCTCGGCCATCTGGGAGGGGCTCAGAGTCGAGTCGTCTCGCCTCCACGTTGAGAGGAGTCAGATGAGGTGGCTCGGGCATCTGATTAGCATCCGAACCAGGATAAGCGGTAGAAAATGAATGGATGGACATTTTATTAGCATTTGATTATATATTTGTTTCTCCATGGGTAAAAGGAAAAAAAAACGCACCTCTCAGAAGTGGCAAATCAATTCTTACTGGGGTCTACACATCCCTGTGCTGAACTTGCCCTCAATGTCGTTGCCCCTCAACAGAAGGCATGACTCCGAATAGCATCTCTCCAACAACAAATGTGATTGATTTTTTTTCTGCAGCAGGACTCCAACCAGAACCCTTTGATTTCAAAGGTTTCAGGTCCTTACCATTGAGCTACTGCTATTCTATCTTGAGGTGCCCCCCTGATAGTAAATGACACTTTATTCTTATTCTCTTGCACAGGTACACTGCTCATTGTTTAGCACTGGTGACTCGAATGACTGATAATCAGAAAAACATCTTTTTGAGTAAGCTTCTGACAAGTGATGAGATTCTGCAGATGAAAATCAGGTATGTTTCCTTTGCTTTTGTCATACGTGATTCTGGTTATCAAATGTATATTCTCAGCATAACGCTTTAACTTTGTCGTTGTACCACCAAATATAAATCTACCTAAAAGTATGCTACAGCTCTTCTTTTTAATAAGTTGCAATATAAAGACAATTAGAATTAAATGTAACGTTACTGTATATATTTGTTTCTTTGTTCAGAGCTTTTGAAGAAGCTCAGCAGATGACAATAGAAAAAGCCCTTGTGTTAGCCAATCAAGGATCATCCTTCGGGCGCAAGGAAAAGAAGCATATCCAGGGCCAGTTAATATCAGAGGACTTGTCTCAGAATGTTGTGGCAATCTGTGGTATTGTGCTGCCTGTAAGAGGACAAAAACAGACTGAAAAGGTAAGAGCCTTTCATTTACAATACATCTTCATTTATACGGCATATTCACTACAGCTGCAGCAGTGACACAGCACTTTCCAGAACATTTAACGTAAAATAACCAGTGATAGGCGCTTGACCCTATTTTGCCGGCTATTAATGGCTAGCCGGATACAATAAGGCGGTTGGGCTGACATATTGCTGCGACCCGGTCCAACAATTGTCTGCTACATAAATAACAATAAAAAGGAAAAGAATATGCGTCTTTATTTTAGATTTCCAAAGAGTTTGTGGCTTCCATGGAATCTTGTATCAAACGGTTCAAATGGCTCTTGTTGCCCACACTAATGTAATATGTCCCTCCTCGCTTGCTGTACAGTGACACACCATGATGGTCTAAACTTGTTATCTAGGAATCTAAACGTCACCTAATGTACGAAAATTACGATCAATGGTCACAAAAATATATGTTGACATTTTTACTTAGGCTCACATCAACTTCTGAAAATTATCGCCGAAGTATTAGGAATTTTAGGTTATTTTCCTCTTCAGAGAGGCGCTCACTACAAAGCTTATACCTATTCAAGAGAGAAACGCGTCGTCCATAACATGGACATGTCTTCACACATTACACAATACCACCCTTTGAAAACTGTGCTTGACTCTCGCATGCAACCATAGACGTATTCATTGCATATACACCTGCGTCCCGAACCTTATTTTCAGTAACACCATGATTGACTGTTGCAGATATGACCGGCCACCTGGGCGTGTTTCTGTCAGTCGTTAGTGAAATGCGTGTCCGTCGGTACTTGACCCGGTAAGGGGCGATTAAAGGAACGGATGAAAAACCCACTTCTGTCCTTACTTAGCCATCCTTTTTAAAAAAAAAAATTCTTGTCTTCCGTCCCCAAAGTGGACGTCCGTCCATCCCGGGGACTGCATGCCCATCTCTGAAAATAACAATAACACAACAGAACACATAACATAAAACATAGACAATAATGCAATTGGAACAACTATTCTTTGTCACACAAAGTAATATTTTCCATTTGTGGTTGAATGCTTTTTGCAGGTAAATGAAAGGGATATGGTGCTGGTGGACTCAACCTGCCTGAATCTGAAAAGACTGGCACTGGCTGTGGCTTCACAGAAGCCGGTGCTCCTTGAGGGGCCTATCGGCTGTGGCAAAACTGCTCTGGTGGAGTTTATGGCTACTGTTACTGGTCACACAGAATCTTCAAAGATTCTAAAGGTCCAACTTGGGGATCAAACTGACAGTAAGGTAAGAAATCTAATCAGAAATAAGAATATGATTGAAAATGAGAATGATAACAATTATTTGAAAATTTAAATAGAAAATTTCCATGGGTCTGCTACCCGTCAGAAGTCCAAAACCCACATTTGTGAGGAACAGATTGCAAGATGGTCATTCCCTGTAGAATTACTTTGGCCTCAACAAAATTGAAAGTCTTTGTATTGATCAATTTTGAAAGACTGTTGATAACATCTAATCAGTTGGTAAATGCCAGAGGTTGGCAACACAATGGTCCGAAGGCCATAATTGGCTCGCCACTAATTATATCTGACATAAATTGAATATTTGACATATTTTTATTATAGGTCATAAATGACCTAAAATAAAATGTGTGAGATTGAACAATGTCAAAAGCAATTTTTTTTTTTGTACGGAAACTCTTAATGGGTTTGTAGCATAAAATTAGCAAATAACATGAATTAAAGCCATGACATTTATACTAATGTCAATATTACTACATATTTTTGCAAATATGTAGATATCAATCTAAATAAGAGACAAATCAAACAACTCTTTCAGTTTGTGAAGCTCTGCCGTACCATGTCACAAATAGCTGCTGATTTTTGCCCGATCCTAGTTTCGTCGTGTCGTCAACAAATACTATATATTACAATTGTGACACAGAACGTTTATATATGTCTTTCAAAAACAATAGGTCCCGGCACAGACCTCTGGGGGACACAACAGGTTATGCTCCTTCTTCTTGAAGTATAGTCACCCATCTCTACGTACTGTCGTCTGTCAGCGAAAAAATATTTTGGCCAGTTATTTGTAATTTCCATTTTGTTGCAATTTTTTAGAGGTTTTACGTGACCTGTTGTGTCAAAGTCTTTTTCTTAAGTCTATGAATATACCCACAGAATGTATTGTGTATTTGCTCCATTATTTCCACTGAGAACAATCAACGTCAGAGCTGTTCAACTGTGATTTTTGAAACCATACTGACTGCCATTCTGTACTTTATGCTTATTATAAAGCCATTCAGGCGTGTAGCAAAGCCATTTTCCAACATTTTTCTCAATTGAGAAAATATTGATTTTGATTCAGTTATTGTATGTAACGTGTAGTGTTAACCAACAGCATTTGCTTCTTAATAAGATGTGGTGATTTCTCTGCAAGCTGGCTCATAATAATTTTAAGCAATACTAAAATAGGCTGCTTATGGCCATCAACCACTATCAGAGATGAAAGTCCTCCGGATTTTCCCGGAATTCCGGGTTTTTCACATTTTTATGAAAATTTCTCAGGAGAATTGAGGAAAATTTGCATAATCCGGATATTAGTTGACAACATTGAACGAAGACGCGTTTGAGTTCGTTGTATTGCTTTCACGAGCGTAGCCATATTGAGGTACTAACACTAGTAACAGTAAAGAGATTTTTGTTTGTGTAATAATGACAGAAGGCATGATGGCGTTTGACTCATGGTTTAGTAGAACGAATGGCAACTCGCAACAACAGTAGCAAGCTCATTTTGCCTCTCGGGTTATACCATCTCAACTAGAACGTGGGGGATAGTCCCCAAACAATTTTCGTCTCTTTATAAACACACCTGCTAAACCCCAGTGGAACGAATAAAAGACGCCGTCAACAAGACAGTTGTCGTAAAAAATATATTTGGCCAAAAAGGGAAAAACACAGATTGGCAGAAAATC